CGTAGTTGTAAGAAGACCGGGAAGTGCAGCTCTTCTCCGGGTGCAGGACTTCCCTGAACCAACTTGAGCTTCAACCGCATTGACACAGAAGACAGGACGCTGGGCTCACCCTCTCCCACATCCCCATACCAGATATCCAAGCCTATTAGAAAATTGTGCAGAGATTTGGAGTAATGTGGGTTTCTCCCAGCAAGTAAAATGAGTGACATTTAGCGCAGACACTTACCCTATTTTAAACATAAGATTAGGGGAGTTTGGAAGCTTCCCCGATTCTCAGCTGGGCTCTGAACACTAAATGTGCTACATAAATGGCATTTAGACAACTGAGGAGTCACCGTGACTGAGGCGAATACTCACACGTAAACCCACTGGTGGAGTCTTAAAGGTCCCGGCTCGCCCTGCGGCCTCGGAGCCTCCCGAACACAGGGGCGTCCTCTCCGAGCACGGGCCTCGCGTCCCCGCAGGGATGCACCTGCAGCCCCCGCCGCCCCGCGCAGCCGCACCTGCCTCCCCTGCCCCGCCGCGCTCCCCAAATAAGGAAGGGCGGGCCACCTGCACCGGCGGTCACCTGCGGCTACACCCACGCCCCTCACCGGCCTCCACCCGCGGGGCCCACGCCAGGACTTACCCGCGACGGCTTTCCCCATCGTGGACTCTCCAGCATGAACAAAACCTGACGTTTGGGTGGTTCCCTGCATTTCGGCTCGTAAATGTATTCCGTGGGATCCCGGGACTGGGGGGCGCCGGGGGGAGGACCTCGGGGGCGCTGAGCGCAACAGGTGGGTTGGGTGGAAGCCCCTCCCGCGGACGTCATCCGTCCCGCACACGTCGTCCCTCCCGCGGACGTCAAATCTCCTGCGCACATTGTTCCTCCTGCGGACGTCATGTCTCCCGCGCACGTCATGTCTCCCGCGCACGTCATGTCTCCCACTCACGTCGTCCCTCCCGCGCACGTCGTCCCTCCCACTCACGTCGTCCCTCCCACGCACGTCGTCCCTCCCGCGCACGTCATGTCTCCCACTCACGTCGTCCCTCCCACTCACGTCGTCCCTCCCTCGCACGCCATGTCTCCCACTCACGTCGTCCCTCCCACGCACGTCGTCCCTCCCACTCACGTCGTCCCTCCCGCGCACGCCATGTCTCCCACTCACGTCGTCCCTCCCACGCACGTCGTCCCTCCCGCGCACGTCGTCCCTCCCGCGCACGCCATGTCTCCCACTCACGTCGTCCCTCCCACGCACGTCGTCCCTCCCACTCACGTCGTCCCTCCCGCGCACGCCATGTCTCCCACTCACGTCGTCCCTCCCACGCACGTCGTCCCTCCCACTCACGTCGTCCCTCCCTCGCACGCCATGTCTCCCACTCACGTCGTCCCTCCCACGCACGTCGTCCCTCCCACTCACGTCGTCCCTCCCGCGCACGTCATGTCTCCCACTCACGTCGTCCCTCCCACTCACGTCGTCCCTCCCGCGCACGCCATGTCTCCCACTCACGTCGTCCCTCCCACGCACGTCGTCCCTCCCACTCACGTCGTCCCTCCCGCGCACGCCATGTCTCCCACTCACGTCGTCCCTCCCACGCACGTCGTCCCTCCCGCGCACGTCATGTCTCCCACTCACGTCGTCCCTCCCACTCACGTCGTCCCTCCCGCGCACGCCATGTCTCCCACTCACGTCGTCCCTCCCTCGCACGCCATGTCTCCCACTCACGTCGTCCCTCCCACTCACGTCGTCCCTCCCACTCACGTCGTCCCTCCCTCGCACGCCATGTCTCCCACTCACGTCGTCCCTCCCGCGCACGCCATGTCTCCCACTCACGTCGTCCCTCCCACTCACGTCGTCCCTCCCACTCACGTCGTCCCTCCCGCGCACGTCATGTCTCCCACTCACGTCGTCCCTCCCACGCACGTCGTCCCTCCCACTCACGTCGTCCCTCCCGCGCACGCCATGTCTCCCACTCACGTCGTCCCTCCCTCGCACGCCATGTCTCCCACTCACGTCGTCCCTCCCGCGCACGTCATGTCTCCCACTCACGTCGTCCCTCCCACGCACGTCGTCCCTCCCACTCACGTCGTCCCTCCCGCGCACGCCATGTCTCCCACTCACGTCGTCCCTCCCGCGCACGCCATGTCTCCCACTCACGTCGTCCCTCCCACTCACGTCGTCCCTCCCACTCACGTCGTCCCTCCCGCGCACGTCGTCCCTCCCACTCACGTCGTCCCTCCCACGCACGTCGTCCCTCCCACTCACGTCGTCCCTCCCACGCACGTCGTACCTCCCGCGCACGCCATGTCTCCCACTCACGTCGTCCCTCCCTCGCACGCCATGTCTCCCACTCACGTCGTCCCTCCCACGCACGTCGTCCCTCCCGCGCACGCCATGTCTCCCACTCACGTCGTCCCTCCCGCGCACGCCATGTCTCCCACTCACGTCGTCCCTCCCGCGCACGTCATGTCTCCCACTCACGTCGTCCCTCCCACTCACGTCGTCCCTCCCGCGCACGCCATGTCTCCCACTCACGTCGTCCCTCCCACTCACGTCGTCCCTCCCACTCACGTCGTCCCTCCCTCGCACGCCATGTCTCCCACTCACGTCGTCCCTCCCGCGCACAGTCGTCCCTCCCGCGCACGTCATGTCTCCCACTCACGTCGTCCCTCCCACTCACGTCGTCCCTCCCTCGCACGCCATGTCTCCCACTCACGTCGTCCCTCCCACTCACGTCGTCCCTCCCACTCACGTCGTCCCTCCCGCGCACGCCATGTCTCCCACTCACGTCGTCCCTCCCGCGCACGTCGTCCCTCCCGCGCACGTCATCCCTCCCGCGGACACCATCTCTGCGGTTCCCCGACATTCGGTTTCCCGTCGGAACAACGTGCGCGTGAGCTCGGGTGGAGCCCCCAGGCCCCGGGTGACCCAGTGTCCCGCTGGCTCCCGGGGCGGACGGCACCGCTGGGTGTGGACCGGGTGTCCCGCCCGCGGCCCCGGCTCCCCGTCCTCCGGCAGGTGCACGGCACAGCGCGCCGCCCGAGCGTGGCCGCCTGGGGACAAAGCTCCAGGGTCCCGGAGGGCCGCGCCGTCGCTCGGCCGGCCGCGACACGGTCACGCGGAGTGGTAGCCGTGGGAGTAATGCTCTCCTGGCCGACCGCCCCACGTAAACGGTAAGATCCCAGGTTGGCCTGGGCGTCTCCTCCCGGTCGCGGGCACCTGCTCTTGGGCCACCTGCCCGGCTCACGATGGCGGCGGGAGGACAATCTGCCCAATGCTGCACGCGCAGCGGCCATGTGGCCTGGCTTCTCGGGCATCCAGCCCGTCTGTGCGCCGGGGGCGGCCGGCCGGCGTCTCTTCTGGGAAGGACACACATCCCATCAGACCCGATGACCTCATTTGACCTTATTAATTATGTAAAAAGGCTTTATTTATGTGTCCCCGAGAGACGGGGGGCGGGGGGCGGGGGGGCAGGGGGACTTGATCCCGGGACCCGGGGTCACGCCCTGGGCCAGGGGCAGATGCTCAACCGCTGGGCCCCCCAGGATCCCTAACCTTGTGACCTTCTCATTCCAAATACAGTCACACTTGGGGGTTAAGGCTTCCACACACAAATGTGGGGAGACAGTCTGTAACCATGGATTTGAGATGAAACAGCTTGCGGGGGGCCAGGGCTCTCCCCAATTTCATTCTTGGTGTCTGGGGCATTGACCTGAAAACCAGTGACTTCTCCCCTTGAGTTTCCACCTTGGCCGACTCCCTGCCTCCCTGCCTGGGTGCTCCGCCCCACAAGCTGCTTCCACTTGGGAGGTTGGGTGATGTGGCAGTCCCAGAAGGGACCCCAGTAAGTGCCAGCGCCGAGCTGAAGTGGGGCCAGCCTCATTTTCCTTTAGGCTGAGCTTAAGAAAGACCACGTTTCTGGAACTAAAAGCAGGGCAGATGGCCAGACTCCGATAAAAATATTTAAAGTTGGAATTTCTCTTGGGCAGCCCTGGAGGCCCAGCGGTTGAGCGCCGCCTTTGGCCCAGGGTGTGACCCTGGGGCCCCGGGATCAAGTCCCACGTCTGGCTCCCTGCATGGGGCCTGCTTCTCCCTCTGCCTGTGTCTGTCTCTCTCTCTCTGTGACTATCATAAATAAATAAAAATTAAAAAAATTCTAAGTATGAGGTCCTACTGTAGACCTACTGAAGCAGAAGAACTCGGTGGCAGTTGGGGGACAGCAGTGTGCACTGACCAAGGCCCCCAGGTGAGTCTGGTGCATTCGCACATGTGAGCAGCTGTGTTTTAAGTCCTCAGCCTTGGTTGAACACAAGAATCCCCAGGGGAACTCTTACAAATCTGGTTCCCAGGCGACACCTGGGACAAATAAGAATCTCTAGAGCAGGGACTCCAGCCTCCGGCTGCGGGAGTCTGGGTGCCTCAGTCAGTCGGCCATGTGTGGAACTTCGGTTCAGGTCATGATCTCAGGGTCCTGGGTGGAGGCCCCCACAGCCCCCTGCCAAGCCCGTGTCCCTGTGTTGGGCTCTGCTTGTCTCTCTGTTCCTCCTCCCATTGTGCTCGCTCTCTTGCTCTCTCAAATAAATAAAATCCTTTTTAAAAAGTTGCATGGTAGAGGAATCAACGCTGAGTGCACGGAGAGGCTGGGGTGGAGCTGCAGGCAGGGGGTGATGTCCCCGTCACCCAAGCTCTTGGTGGCCCGGGAGCTGACAAGCTGTCTCTGGGAGCTAGTCGTGACCTCGGGACACTGGCCCAATGACTGCCTGCACCGCCGGAGCTGTGCTGGGGGCCGGGCCGGCCTAGGAGCAGGGTGGTGCCCGAAGCCGGTGGCCTGGGGTCATTGGTCGCTAGCCTGGGCCGTGGGCAAGGTCCTCCTGTTTGTGTCCTGATCACCTCCGTCGCAGGGTCATCACAGGCCAGGCCAGCACGGAGCCGGGGTGCCCGTGAGCCTCCCAGCAGAGGGTGGCTGGTGCCCCCCCCCCCCCCCCCCCCCCCCCCCCCCCCCCCCGCGACCTGCTCCTCCGTCACTCAGGCTTTCCATTTAGGGACCCAGATGCGGCCGCTGCCTGACCTCCTGAGAAGCTCCTGGGCCCCCCTCCGCGGAGCTCGGGGCAGCAGCGCCCAAGGCTGCCGTCACTCAAGACCAAAGCAGCTGAGAAGAGATGGTCCAGGGAATGTTTGTGGTGAGACTCGCACCTGAGTGAAGTCCCGCAGACTGTTCTCCCCAGGTCCGCTGAGCCAACTGTGCCGCCGCAGTCCAAGCGGGAAGAGTTAACCTGGGAGGAGAACGAACTTTCGGTCCTTTCCCCGCTGGGCCCTAAGCGGGTGTCCCGGACGTGCATCCACGCACCTGCTGCTGTGGCCACGGCCGCCTGGGCGCCACCGCGGAGACTTTTAGGGGGGGTGGGGGCGGGCCGCGGGGTCGGAGGAGGGAAGCACTAGGGGGTGGGGGGTTGGGGGTGGAGGGAAGCACTAGGGGGTGGAGGTGGGGGTGGAGGGAAGCAGTAAGGGGTGGGGGTGGGGGCCGCGGGGTTGGGGGAGGGAAGCACTAGGGGGTGGGGGGTTGGGGGTGGAGGGAAGCAGTAAGGGGTGGGGGTGGGGGCCGCGGGGTTGGGGGAGGGAAGCACTAGGGGTGGGGGGTTGGGGGTGGAGGGAAGCACTAGGGGGTGGAGGTGGGGGTGGAGGCGGTGAGGGTGGAGGGAAGCACTAGGGGGTGGAGGTGGGGGGTGGAGGGAAGCGCTAGGGGGTGGGGGTGGGGCCAAGGGGTTGGGGGAGGAAAGCGGTAGGGGGTAGGGGGTGGGGGGTCGGGCCGCGGAGTCGCCCAGGGGGAGTCTGCGCTGCGGCAGGTGCGGGCTTCCGCGGGCTTCCCCCGCGGAGCGCGGAGCGAGTGGCTCTAAGCTGTCTGCTGCTCAGTGGCTACCCCCCTCCCGGGGCACCCGGACGCGGCCACCCGCTCCTCCTGCGGCCCCTGTTCCGGGGACACTTCGGTTCTCAGCTCGGGCCTCAGTGGCTGACTTGCAGCCCTCTGGTCAGGCCCGCTGGCGTGCCCTGGCCCCCTGCCCCCGCGCCCTCCCCCTGCCCTGCCCCCCTCCATGTCTCCCTCCCCCTTTCCCCTGCCCCCTCCATGTCTCTCTCCCCCTTTCCCCTGCCCCCGTGCCCCTTCTCGTCCCCCTCCCTTTGCCTCCTTCTCCCCCTCCCCCTCCCTCCCCTCCACCTGCTCCCCCCTTCCTCCGCCTCCCCCTGCTCCCCCAGGCTCTTCCACACTGGGCCTAGTCCTCAGGCGGCCGCACACAGCCCCAGGAAGGCCCTCTGCTTCCACATGCCCTCGGGGGCCAAGAAAGGAGTTGAGGTCTGGCCAAGGCCTCTGGGGCCTTGTCCGAGGTGTAGCCCTCCTCCGTCCACACGCCCCGCAGGGACCCGGGGGGGCGGGGGCGGGGGGGGGGGGGACGACGGTGTCGGTGAGCTGGCAGGTGCAGCCAGGCCACAGGGGCAGTCCCAGGTCGGCTTCTTTTATCTGCATTATCACTGTTTTTCAGTTGAGATGTCGTTGACATGGAACATCGCGTGGGTTGCGGGTGTGCAACAGCATGATTCGGTAGGTGTATACAGATAACACCTGTCACCGTATAGTGACATTTTTTTCCTGGTAATGAGAACCGTCACTCTCACTCCCTCAGCAGCTCCCAAACATGCACCATATAGTATCTTAACTGCAGTCACCGGGCCGTCCGTGCTTTACACACTTATGACTTACTTATTTTTTAAGTGGAAATCTGCACCCTTGGCCTCCCTTTGCCCATTTCACCCACTGCTGTCCCCTGCCTCTGGCAGCCACCAACCTGTTCTCTGCATTTATGATTTTGGGTGGTGTTCAGATTGCACGGATGAGTGAAATTATATGGTATTTCTCTGACTTTTTGCACCCAGTATAACACCCTCAAGTTCCACTATTGTTGCAAATGGCAAGCTTTCATTCTCATTTATGGCCAAGTCATGTTCCATATATATAATATGCAGTTATAAATAGGATATTATATATAATGTGATGATTTATACAAGTATGTATCATATTGCCTTTATCCATTCATTCCCTGATGGGCACTTCGGTTACTTCCTTATATCGGTCGTTGTGAATAATGCTGAAAATGAACATGGGGGTGCAGTTATCTTTTTGAATTAACATATTAACTTTCTTTGGGTAAACACCCAGAAGTGGAATTGCTGGGTTATATAGTACTTCTAATTTTAATTAAGTGAACCCCATACTGTTTCTCAGATTGTTGCCAGGTCTTCTGATTTTTTTCTTAAAAAGTAAAATATCTGACTTTTGAAAGCTCTTGATGAAAAGAAAATAAAGTCAGTCATCTCAAAGATATTGAAGCATTCTGTGAGCAAACAAAACATGTTTGGAGGTTGAATCAGGTCCTTGGGCTTCCCGATGATCTCTGCTCTAGTTAACGGAATATAAACAAAAGACAGGTGTGGGTGGGGGCCTGGGAATGAATCAGGGACATGGACAGATGGGCAAATGGATCTTTGCAAGAAACAACCACTGACATGAACAATGATAAGCAGACACTTACGAGAGGCAAAAAAAAATTATTAATAAAATACGAAAGCAATTACTATTTTAACTTAGTGCCTGGAACATAGTGACGTTCAAGAAATCTTTGTTGAATGAACACTTTAACTTTACTTTTTAATATTGTTTTGCCATTACAAAGCATTTTGTGATTTCACTGGCCTCAAAACAACCCCCGAGAGGCAAGAATATTATTCTTCCCATTCTCATTATTTACACAACTCCCACTGCTCGGAGAAGCAAACCAGAGCTTTAGTGATGGTTCCTTCTTCGTTGCTTCTCCCTTTTGGACCTTGTTTTCCTAAAATCTAGAGCCTGAGCTGCAGGGAAGCATAAATCGGCGCTGGCACATGTCCTGTGATCGAGAGACCATCCTCCAGGCCTCCCACCAGGAGCCCCTTCTCCTCACCCAGCCTGACAACAAAACCAACAACAAGCAAACAACCCTCGAGGGCAGCTCGGGCAGCTCGGGTGGCTCAGCAGTTTAGTGCTGCCTTCAGCCCAGGGCATGATCCCGGAGACCCAGGATCGAGTCCCATGTCAGGCTCCCTGCATGGAGCCTGCTTCTCCCTCTGCCTGTGTCTCTGCCTCTCTGTGTGTGTGTCTCTCTTGAATAAATAAAGTCTTTTTAAAAAAAAAAAAAAAAAACAAAAACCAACCCTCGAACCCAGTAAGAGACGCAATGCAAGGTAAGGCGCCCCCCCCCCCCCCAGCAGCCCTCTCTGTGGAAGCGGTGGCTGCGACCACCTTCTGTAAACCTAACTATGTGTTTGTGTGCATGTTCTCCCCACTACTCTCCCCTTTTACACAAATGGTAGTATTTCATATTGCTGCTTATTCCTTGCTTTTTAAAAAAGCGTAACTCTGTATTTTAATAACTTTAACATTCTTTTTAACTAGATTCCTATTGATGAATATGTAGGTCGTTTCCAGTGTTTTATGAATCCCGCTGCAGTGCCTAACTCTATGCCTCATTTCACACATGCAGAAGGAAACCTATTGAATACATACAAACAGAATTGCTAAATCCAAGGGCATATATACTTTTAATTTTTAAGGCTTGCCTCATTGCCTCCTCATAAAGCCCAGCGTATACCCTCACAAACCATGTAGAGAATGCTATCATCGATTTTGTAAAAATCTACTTTCCAGTTTCCTTACCTATCTTCATGGTCACACTCTAGATATTCGAAAACCATTTCACTTCTGAAATCCAGAATTCAAATATGCATCAACTCTCTGTTATTTCACAATGGCCATGTTTTAGGGTACCAAAAAGTGCCCCAGAGATTCTACCACTAAGAATTTATCATTATTAAAAAATCAGAGATGCGCACAAAGATTTATTTATAAATCTGTGCAGTACTGCCTTGTTCTTAATGGTGAAGCATAGAACATACACTACGAGAGTAGAGTGCAGTGGTTAAGTAAATTATAGTAGTACACTGCAATGCTATCATAAAATTTGTGATTTTGAAAAACATTTAACAATTTGGGAAACTCTTTACACTATACCATTAAGTGAAGAAGCATGTGACAATAGTTACACGTGTGTTCCCTATTTTAAAAATACATTTGCACAAGACAAAAGGCTAAAAAGCCACATTAATATTTTAATTATTGTTATTTGAATGGTTGGATTGTGTGTGTTTTTAATTTCTTTCTATGCTTTTCTAACTTCTCAATAATAAATATGTACTTGAACAAGTTGTGAAAGTTAATTTTTAGAAAAAGGAAGAGAGAGTGGAAGGGAAGAAGAAAAAAGGTGTACAGGGTAGAGGGAACAGAGAATGTGAACAGGCTCCAGGTCAGGCCGGCTGAGTCTGGGTTCCAGCATTGCCGCTTAAGAGGCTGGCCATTTTAGGCTAAGTCGTTTCATCTTCATGTCTCAGTTTCTCTCTCATCAAACGGGACTAAGAGTATTTACCCTGCCTCCCAGCATGGTGGCTATAAAATGGTACATGAGGCTGCTTTGGGAGCGCAAGTGTATTTTGTAATAGAGGACAACATTACTGTCATTCATTCATATTATTTAATCACAGCTACCCTTTGTGTAACTTGAGTTTTTAGACAAACGGGTTTTTTTTTTTTCATCTAAAATGATTAAATCGAATGTGCTACTTCCTGCGGGGCTTTCCAGGCATCTGAGAGAGAGGCTAAAAGCTTTTTAGTCAGTCAATAAAGGTATCTGTTTTACTGAAACAAGAAATAAAGATTTCTCCCACTTACCAAACTATTTGAAATCCCCATCTTCCTCCTATCTTTGGGATCAAGTCTTGAAAGCTGCCTGCCAAAATAAATAATTATTTAAAAAGGAGAACATTTCTTTCATGCCTTGCATTCTATGGAATAAAACCTGTGGCCAGCGGTTTGTGAAGAGAGCAGGGAAGATGCGTCCAGAGCTGAGTCACAGGTCACTGCTCTGGCCGAAGCTATTGCTCAGGGCAGGGAGAGGGTTTGAGTAGGCAGTTACCTTACAGCCCTGGGCACCTGTGGATTAAGCTGTTTAGCATTTAATACTCTGCACCGGTTGGTTTCAAAGTGCCTTTGTGAGGTTGTTATGCAATACACAATCTGTCCTTCGGCCAAACTCAAATACGTTGGACTCTTACTATTTGAAATGTTGACATTTCTGTTGCATTTTTGCCAAGTAAGTATAAAATGGTAAGCAGACTGAGGTCCTTATTTCTAGTTCTCTATCTTGAGATTATTATGCAATCTTGTAAGACTGCAAAGTCTAAATCATTCTATTGAAATATGTACAATTAACATGTTGTCAGTTGTATTTGTTTCAGGGGTACATTATAGTGATTCAGCAATTCTATATGTCACTCAGAGCCCATCAGGTCTGTAATGGCCGTGCCTTTCATTTTATAAGCATATTTTTGCTAGGTATAAAATTCCATGTTGGGAAAAAAATTTCCATGTTGGGGCTCTTTGAGGGGAAGATGGGAGGCTGGTCTGTCAGATCTGAGAATTCAACATTGACAGCATTTTGTTTTCAGTATGCTGAAGCATATTTTGCTTTTCCGTGTGCTAGAAGTGTATCTGCTGGCTCGTGTTAGTTTTGACAAGAAATTAGCTATTCCTTTGTTCCCAATTACTTACTTTTCTCCTGGTTAAAAGTCACATTTCCCTGCCTCTTCTGTTTTTAGTATTGTATTACCTGTATTATCCAAAAGATGATGTATTTTCAGTATTTTTTGATTAGATGCTGTACATTGTCATTTTATATTGTTGTGTGTCTGGATTTTGTCATTCTCCTGATTTCTGTCTCCTTGCCTTGGCGAGTCCTCTGTACCACCCTGCTTGCTGCACAGTCTAGAGAGTGCCTCCATGTAGAGAGCCAGACTGATCATAGGACAACTTTGAGTCTCTCTCCTCGGGGATCACGTCCCTGCACTACTTGTTTTCCAATATCTGAAAGCTTGTTTTTTCCATACATTTCATGCGATTTTCTTGTTTACAGAGAAAGCACAAGTCCAGTACCAGTTACTCTCTTTTTTTTGCCAAAAGCAGAAATTTTGTTACATTATAAAAGTAACTATCTGACTAACAAGCAAATAGAGGTTTCTATGCATTAACCGAGGAAAAGCGTATCATGAACCATGAATTATGATTAGTTCAGTCCCACAACCTTGAGGCCTTTTCAAAATAAATGGAAGAAAACCAATTCCACGGCTGTACTGTTATTGCCTTCAATGCTGAAAGCCCACATCTTTTAGCAAAACCCATTGTTGCTGCAATGCAAGGTTGTGGTGCTGGCATGTGACTTTTATTCTTCTCTGCTGTAGCCTACATCTCGTAAGTATCATAAAGAGGTAAGAGATGCCATAGGAGTATTTGTTACTTGAGACCACACTCAAAGATGTCTGGATGAGTTCTTCCAGAATGAAAATGCCCTAGATTTCCAGAACTCCCTCCATGCTCACATTATTCCTTCTTGTGCATATCTCATTCCTGTACGTCCTCAGCTGGTATATCACCTCCTTTATTTACTCTTTCCTTGTCAATACATTTAAGTAGAGACTTAGCTCTCTTTCCTCTGTCTTTCCACACCTCTTGATTTATACTTCACACAGGATAATGATCAATTCTAACTTGTATTATCTTCACACAGGTGTCATATTTGCCCCCCTCCCCAGTAGGCTGCGAGTTTGTTAAAGGAAAGACCAATTGTAATAGCTTTTGTGATCTCCTAGCACCTTGGACCATGTCTAGCAGATAGTAGTGCCTAGTAAATCACTGTTGAGTGAATGATGAAGGAAAATGGAAGGGCCTCCAAGACAAGTTGCCCTGGATCCACTTTTTTTTACCTAAAATGCAGTCTCTTAATGCAGGCATCACTGTTCTCAGCTGTGTGATTCAAAGGTCAGTGATCCCGATGTGGTGATAGCTCATGCCAATCTCTCCTCACCCTGAGTTGCCATGGAGACCGTATGTTCAATGGAGCTGCTGGTAAGACTTCATGTTTCTTCTCCTTTTCATCTGCTATCTTCCTCTGCCAATCCTCTGCCCCATTGCCAGCCTCTCTCAATCCCTGAAGTCTGAAAGTCTCTGTGAGCCAAGGATAACAGTAGTTTCCATATGCATACTTACCTATGGAGAGGAGACACATGTGTTTATTATTTTTTTTAAGATTTTATTTATTTATTCATGAGACACACAGAGAGAGGCAGAGACACAGGCAGAGGGAGAAGCAGGCTCCATGCAGGGAGCCTGACGCGGGACTCGATCCCGGGACTCCAGGATCACACCCTGGGCCAAAGGCAGACTCAACTGCTGAGCCACCCAGGCGTCCCACATGTGTGTTTAGGAGTTCCTCAGCCCCTCTCTGATGCAGTTTCCAACGTTGAGAATGCTCTGGGCTCAGTGGCTTTTTGCCTCTGTAAACTTTCGTCTCCTTAGGGTATCGGTGTATTTGTCTTTGACCACCCTGTGACCAGAATTGGTCTTCAAATTGCTATATTTTGGGGAGTCTAGGTGGGCTGCAGGTCACCATGCAACTCAAACAGAGGAAGCCTTAATCATTGTTTCTGGATATGTGTTGTGAGCAGCCCCTCAGTTATTGCTTGATGCCATGTAAAGCCCGAGGTACAGGAGGTGCAATGTTGGGGAAGATTTGGTCTCACGAAATTTATCATTTAGATAGAGAGGCTGATGAAAAATAAACATGGAATGCAATAGCAGAGGATAGGGAACAGATATGATGCTCTGGAAATGTAAAGACGGCATAACGTGGCCTAAGGAAAGTAGTACAGTATCTCAGTATCCTCGGGGAGGGAACACCTCAGCTGGGTCTTCCAGAACGAATAAGAGTTCATCAAGCAGAGACAGCAGAAATATAGTTCAGCAGGAGGAAATAGCATGCACAGGGGCGCAGAAGCATGAGAGATTACAGTTGGTTTAGTACGTTTGGGAGGGAGGCAGTGAGAGGAAATTGTTGGAAAAGTAAACATGACCCTGCTTGTACTTTTTACGACCTGCTAAGACATAGGGATTTGTTTCCATAGGCCCCTGTTTCCTACGTATCAGTCATTTCCCCATCACTTTCATGTTATCACCGTATATAATGGGTAATACCTGTACCGGTGCTCCCTCACTGCTTTCCTTTAAATCAAATGTAACTCTTCTTACTTAAAATAGTGTATTATATAGTATTTGACCACTTAAAAAAGAATACATATCACATATTATAAATTCTGCATCAGAATAGTAGAATGGATGCTCATGAACTCATTATTCGATATAAAAACTAAACATTGCCATCTAACTTAAGAACTAAAACAATTCCAGTTCCATTGTTCTATTTATATGCTCCTTCCCTGTATCACCCCCCTTGCCTCCCCTAAGAGATTACCATTATCATATATTTTGTGTTCATTATTCACTTGCTTCTTGAGGAATTTTATCTCCTATGTATAGATTCATAAACAGTATATAGTTTAGCTTTGTTTGGTTTTGATCTTTAGCTTTTGATCTGTGACTGCCGTGTGGAAGCAGAATTGGCACGGGAGCAAGCCTGGAGATGGGGAGCCCATTTAGAGGTAAGTCTGAGTCCCTGGAAAAGGGGCAATGAGAACCTGGATTAGGGCAACGGGGAGGGGAGAGGGTCAACACCAACCATGTCAAAGACAAGACTGCTGAAGCCAACGGATCCTATAAAGAGATATATAGTGTTAGCTTCTTTACAAATCTACCATCTCTGATATTTCTCATACTAGAAATACAAAATTCTGTGTTTAATTTATTGATATAAATAGTTCACATTTGATCCTTGATGTGTTGGTCATTCCCTGTGGTTTCCAGGGAACAGGGAAAAGCAAACCCAATATGCCGCCTTCCCAGAAGGTCTGCTCTGTGACCTTTAGAGATAATTAAATAAAAGCATGTGCCTTTGAGTGGTGTTTACCGTGTGGTACTTCATGATACTATGAGGCAGCTGAACCCATGCTCGGATCTTCATGTTTTAACTCCACAACAGGTTCTTCCCTCTAGGCCACAATGTCTTCAATTTGCTTTGTAATTCACCACACCCAGACTGCCCCATATTTGTTTTTAAACAAAAATTTCCCCATCTTTTTGTAATTTGTCCATACAGCATCGCTATTGTTTTCAGAGTAACTTTGGAAAGACCCAACCGTTTGGGCAAAAATTGTAAACTGTAGTTAATTTAAGGCTGTCTACACCACGGGAGACTTTGACTTTAAAATAAGTTCAGTTGGCCAGTCTTACTGAGACTAGAGCAATTAACTTCTAATTTGTGGTTGGCTTGAAACAACCACTCACTGGAAGGGGAGTCTAGGTACTCCCCCAAGTCCTCACCCTGACCTGCATTGGGCAATTTGAACAAAGCAGAATGGCTCAGAAGAAGCATTGTCCAGCCAGGAGGACACTCATGCTATCCCAATTAGACTTGGAAACTGGTTCAACTCCCTGGAAAAACCACACAGCAGGAGTGTAAAAAAGACAAAGTGATCACTTGTGAAAACAGTCATTGTCAGGTTGATTTAAGTCATCTTTTGAGAGAGTCAATACCCCCTTCCAAATCCCTAGTCATTTAATCAAACAAATTTTCTCAGTTTGAGCCAGACTGGTTGTTCAACAAATTGAAAGACTAGGAAAGTCAGTTATTGGGAGAAAAACATCTTGGATAAATTAGCCATGTTCAACAGTGGTGGAATTTGGATAGTCTGTAGTGGGTCCTCATGCCGCCACTTGGCTGTGCCCTTTTAGGCTATTCAATTCAATTACGCTAACATTTATTTAGTGTTTCTTATGTAGAAGTTCTGTTTCTGGCACTTTGCTAATGCAAAGTTCTAATTATTTTTCTAACAAACCGGGCAATTGGGAAAATCTCAAATTGGTTATATAACATATAAGTAATATATATGTGATATATATGTGATATGTACAATATATGATCTCAAATAGGTTATATAATAGGATCCCCTATCTCATTCTGAAGAAGAGATATTATTTATCTCAAAAAGAAAATTGGACAGATTAGGGGAGGAGGGCAGGGTGTGGGTCACTGCGAATGCAGAGGTTGAGGAGAGCAGCTCTGTCATTCCATCCTCCCCAGTGGAAATTCTGACCAACTTGAAGCAGGAAGCCCTAGTGCAGAAAGGAATTTGGTGGTTTGGGGAGGTAAGATCTTAGGATCTACTATTTGATGCTTGATAAAGACTGACTTTTTTTTTTTTTAAGACTGACTTAATTCTAACAGAATATGATCAGGATTTTGTGGCCACCTTGATGGGTTGACATACATCCCTCTCATATACTTGTTCACCCAGTCATTAATTTTATTTGATTATATACTTCTATTCTGGAGTTTTCTTCTCTGAATCAGAGAGTTTAGTTTAGTTTTTTTTTTTTTTAATTTTTACATCCTGATGATTGATGGTGGGGAGGGGAAGGATGAGACAGGAAACAGATAAGCTGACAAAAATGACAAAATAAGACTTTAATATTTAAGTCAGAAGAACAAAAAGCTGTTTATGAGTTGTGATATTATTTGGTACTAAAAAGTAACACAGGTGTAATTAAGTCTTTCAACTCAGTGTTTTATCCAGAGAGATCTTTTCAGAAAGCCAGGTAATATTTATCTCATAAAAGCCCCTGGTTTATGGTGCTCATTTATGTGACAGCTGTTATAACCAGGATGTCTGGACCCAGGAGCCAGAAACATGTTCCCAAGCTGAACCTCTCAATATCCATGGCGTGAGGGAGTAAGTAGGCATACACAGGAAAAATTGTATGTCACACTTGTAGTGTGCTTTTTGCCTCTTTCAAAGCACTTTTACATGGATTAGAACTTGAAATTGTGTTACTTACTAAAATTCATGGTTTTTTTTTTTTTCCTGATGGTCATTTGGCCACCATTGTATTGACTGTTGTTGAACTAGGTTTGACTAAGAATCTTAAGGTCAAAAAGGACATTTGGTGACATTTAGGTCTGGGGCTTGGACAGTGAATAGATTTAAAGTTGTTCCTTGAAATGCAAAGACCACTTGGAAGGACTCTGTTCCTAGGCAACAGCTGAAGATGAGATGTTCATATCATTAGCTTGCAGTACTTGGCAGCCGCCTGAAAAGAGAGGGAGAGGGAATTTCAAGGTGATAAAGAAAGTCAGCTAGAGGAAGAGGACGCCTCCGAGTGGGAGGGAGTGCTCACCAGGGCTCCCAGAGGCAAAGTCCGTTTCTGGGGAGGTGGGGGAGCGGGGCGGGGGGGGGGGGCAAGTTGCATCAGGGGCCTCCTCCATCTGCTTCTGGACAGAGCACCTCTCCTTCTCGGGCTATTTGCTCTATCAGCTCACAGATACATTCTGTCCCTAGACTCTAAGTTCTGTGCAGGCAGGGCCTCTTGTCCCCCACTATTGCTTTTCTGGCCTCCTCAGCATACAGTGGAGATGCAGGAAGCATTTATAGCATGAGGGAAAACTTTAACGCATAATTGTATGCCAGTTGTAATAGCCAAGCTTCTCTTATGCCATCCTTGCTTTCAAACAGAGTAAGTGGAGCATGCCACATTTTGAAAGGTCTCTTTGTCTTAATCCTCTAGAAAAGCATTCCCTGTCCCCATGGAATAATGCAAATAGCAGACAGCACCTCCTGAGCCTGATCAGGTGCTGGCTCCACTCCCCTGGATGCGGATGTGCTTCTCCCCGCAGCTCTCTGAGGGAAGTGCTACCGGGATCCCCATCTTAAGAAGAAAGAGACACACAAAGTTTAAGTCTAATTGTAAACAATTTTTGCCTTTCTTATTATCACGGGAGAAAAAAGTGCTGAATGACACTGACAAAGAACTTTCTTCCGTTTGTTTTTGTCAAACTTGAGTGTGGACTCAAAAAAATTAAATACGATAAAAAGAAAAAGAAAGGAATTCATGCCTAAGAAGCCGAGGCTAGTGCCTGAGTGTGTCATTGTGTAACAATTATTAACAAGTTCCTAAAATCCACAGGAATGTGGAACTATGTTAGTGACAACTGTCAACAAGTGGAGGATCTTTCTTTTTTTTTTTTAATTTACTTATTTATGATAGTCACAGAGAGAGAGAGACAGAGAGAGGCAGAGACACAGGCAGAGGGAGAAGCAGGCTCCATGCACCGGGAGCCCGATGTGGGATTCGATCCCGGGTCTCCAGGATCGCACCCTGGGCCAAAGGCAGGCGCCGAACCGCTGCGCCACCCAGGGATCCCTGGAGGATCTTTCAAAAAGAAAAAAGAAAGAAAGAAACCATAAAAAGTGGCCCATTGGAGGCAGCACAGCAACTGTGTCCAGCAGGTGGCACCAGCCCCTCGCCATGGGGCCTGCGGTGCCTCCTCTGTGGGTGCCCTGGGCCAGGAGCCAGGGAGAGCTGAGGACCTCAGGGCTGGGCCTGTTTAGCCCCGGGGAGGAGGGCGCTCCCGGGGACAGTCCCCAGGGGTTATGGGGAAGTGCACATCTGTTTCAGATCCAAACTCAAGTGCCGGTTTCTTCAAGCACCAGCCCTGCAGGTTACTGTGGCATAACCCGGGCAAGTTCCTCCTGTTAACCTGTGAACAGGTTGACTCCTGTTGCCCTGTTCCGAGGCCTTACCTGTGAAATGAGGACAGTCATGGATCCACCTCCTTCTGCATCGCCCGTTCTAATCGCTCTGCTCACAGGAGGCCCAGATGCGTGTTCCAGGAGGTGGAATTAATGATGTGACCTTTCAGTAGCCGGGCACGTAAATGTAGGCCACATTTTGCTTGGCTCAGACTGCATCATCACGAAGACAAGTTCCAGGCTTAAATGCTACTGTAAAGCGAGGACTATGTACTAGATGTAAGATGGCCCTTAGAGGAAGAAATGTGGATTCGCCATCCGCAATGAGCCAGTCACTTCTCTAGGTGCTTCCACTGCAATGATGAGCAGGGCAGGAATTACCCAACCCCCCCAATCGGGAAACTCCTGACCTAGCAGGGAAGATACATGTTAAACAAATAATCACACAAAAGTAAACATTACAAATGTGCAAAGTCTTACAAGAATGTAAAACAGACCAACCCAACCTAGTCTTCAGCTCCGGGAAAGCTTCAAAGAGGAAGTGATAGGACGAGGTAACCAGGTAACAAGCCAAAAGGATGGACAAGCATTCCAGGCAAAAGAAATGGCATTTGCATAGGCTCCTAAGTGGGGAGTAGTCTGCTCAAGGCAAACAGTGCAGAGTATTCCAGTACATATAGCGGAAGGAGAGAAAAAGTGGGACCATTGGGACCAAGGGGCTGTAAGCTGGAGAGGTGGCCTATTGGGCAACAAGAGTGCATTAGAGTTAGAGGATTTTATTTTATTTTTATTTTTTTAAAGATTTTATTTATTCACAGAGAGGGAGAGAGAGAGAGAGGCAGAGGGAGAAGCAGGCTCCATGCAGGGAGCCCAATGTGGGACTCGACCCTGGGTTTTCAGGATCAGGCCCTGGGCTGAAGGTGGCGCTAAACCTCTGAGCCACATGGGCTGCCCAGAGTTAGAGGATTTTAGATAGGAAAAGGACATGATCGCGTGCATTGTTTAAAAGGTTGTTATGACCGAAATGGGGAGGCTGGTTTGAGAAGATAGGGTGGGTGGGGAGAGACCAGTGCAAAAGCTTTGGTATTATTTTAGCCAAATGGTGATGGCAGCCCGAAGCAGCGAGGCAAGAAGTGGGATGGGGGAGTCAAGGTCTCTGGCTGTTCTGAACAAGAGGGTGGATGACATTGCCATTTCCCAAGGGAGAAACTGTCGGAAAGGTAGAGGTTTTAGAGGAAAGTTCTTGTGTTTGTTGCAGACTCGATATTTTGAGTCTGAGGCACTAACCAAAATTCAAGAAGAGCTGTTAAAAAAAAAAAAAAGCACGTGTGTGTGGAGCTGAAAAGAAAGATTGTGATTGTTCATCCAGATTTAGGGCTTACCTTACCAGCATGCAGATATAATAGAAACTCTAATGGAAAATGAGACCTTTTTAAATTTAATTTTAAATAATTAAATTATTTAAGTAATAAAATTTTATTTAATTTATTGATTATTTATTTATTGAGCATGAGCAGGGGAAGAGGCAGAGGGAGAGAGAGAACCCCAAACAGACCCCACACTGAGTACAGAGCCCGACATGGGGCTCAATCCCATGACCTTGAGATCATGACCTGAGCCAAAATCAAGAGTTGGAGGCTTAACCGACTGAGCCACCCAGGTGCTCCCAATAAGACCCTCTAAGGAGAAGGTCAAGGGTGAGAAGGGCAGACATCCTGGGACAGCCCTTGAGGAAACTCCACCATTTTTCTAAGTTGATAGAGATTACGAATCAATAATCAGTAACAAAAACAGACTGAGCTCCGAGGTGTAGGAGGGAAACTGGAAGTCCCGGTTCCCTTCCCCCAAAAATGATTATGAAAGAGGCAGAGGTCGATGGCACTGAAAGCTATTGAGAAGTCAGGGACACTAAGAACTAAACTGTGTTCTTTGGATCTGGGGACAAGGAAGCCGCTGGTGACCTTGGGAGGATCAGTTTCTGTGGCACATTGAAGGCCGAAGCCAGAGTGCAGTGAGCTGAGAAGTTAAATGTGAGGCAAGGAAATGGCAGTAATATATGCTAAAAGCATTTTCTAGAGATTTAGTGGGGAAGATGAAGTGGAGGGAGGGCTTTTTTTCAGAAAGAGATGTTACAAATATAGGCAAGAGGAACATTCCTCAGGATGCAGCCGGGGATTGGGTCCAGGACCCAGGAGGAAGGACAAGTGCCTCCTGAGAAGCCCGAGAATGAGGTAAACTCAAGAAGGTTGAAAGCGTTGGCAGCTGGAGTCAGTGTGGCACCTGTGCAGGGCTTGGGTGTCCTCAGCTGCCAGTAGCGAGGGTGAGGTGGGGGCAGAGGGAGAGCTGCTTTGGTCACGGTGCAAACTAAGCAAGATAAGCACTCAGCGGAGGGTGGCCCTGACTTAGTGACACAAATAGAAGGCATCTGATTTTCTGCAGCATCGTTGAAGGCCCAGAGGTTACCCGGAGATGGTGGACTGTCGGCTGCGTTCACTCACACCTGTGGATCCTGCATCTGCTCTGCTGTCAAAGCCTCTGTCGTGCGCTGTGCTGCCGGGCGGGTGTCGGCGGGGAAGCCGAGGACAGGATGGTTCTGGTGTCCGTGAAACAGTGACTCACCTCAGGCAGCACAGAAGCTCAGCTGTGGGGGGAGGACACACTTCCCTCTGGCCTCAGGTCCTGAAGAAGAGAAATCCACCCCAGAGAAGCTGAGAGTTCTGAGAGCTCATCCACCACTTCAACAGAGAACCCCACGCTGTGGAGATGTGACGAGGCCAAGAAGGACAGGCTTGGGGCCGGGGCAGTAGCTGTGGGACAGTGATGGGTAAATACACAGGGGAAACTCATGAAAGATAAGGTCTTGTGAATAGATCTGTTTATGCAGATTCATCTCTCCCCAGTGAGAAGAATGTTCTTTTCCTAGGACAGAGGGCATCTCTCTCATGGGGAATTTCCTACTTTTAGATAAAAAGGGGAAGGACACATGCTGTTTCTCTTTGAGCAGAGTGTCTTCTGCTCAGAATAATCAATACACCAAAGTGGCCTATTTAGGGGTTGTAGGTTCTGATCCCCTCCGGCAAAATAGGGAGGAAAATGAAGGAAAGAGAGAACCAATAAACATGTAGACACCAGAGTGGGAGAGCCACTGGAGGTCTCAGTGAAATGAAAGAGCGGAATTCTGGGGTATTTGTTACAACCACAGAAGGGCAGCAGCATGTGGCCAGGGACTGAGACCTCTGAGTCCCTGACAGGAATCGTTCACATGGCCCTAAGAGTTGGTGACTGAGGTGAGAGAGAGATACCACAGCAACCGGAGGAATGATCATTCTAACATACAAATTTGAACATGTCACACTTACATATAAAATTTGGGTTGTTCTTAGGAAAAAAAATACAAAATTCTTAACACTTTCTATAAGGTTCTGCTTACTTCTTCTGGCTTTACCTCGTCATACCTCTCCCAGCCACTTTGGTCTCTAACCTCAGGGCCTTTGAAAAATACTGTTCTGGGGCACCTTGTGGCTCAGTCTGTTAAGCATCTGTCTTCGGCTCAGGTGGTGATTGTAGGGTCCTGGGACTGAGTCCTGCATCGGGCTCCCTGTTTCTCCATCTGCCTCTGCCCTTCCCTCTGCTTGTGCTCTCTCTTGCTTTCAAATAAATAAAGAACATCTTTAAAAAAAAAAATACTGTTTCTTTGACCTGAACTCTCATTCTCGCCTAGACCTCAAAAGTTCTATCAAGTTAAAAAAAAAAAAAAAGTTCTATCAAGTTAATACCTACTCAACCTTTTATTTTAAGATTTTTTTTTAAAGTAATCTCTACACCCAACGTGGGGCTTGAACTCATGACTCAGAGATCAAGAGGCACTCGATCCTCAGACCCAGACAGCCAGGTCCCTACCCGTACCCAATCTTTAATATTTAGGTATCAGCTTAATGTCACTGCCTCAAAAAGAGCCTCCTTTGCCTTCAGAGTATCAGTACCTTCACAGGAATTATTGTAAGTTATCATGAATTCGTGTCATGTTTAAAAAGTTATTTTTCTGTCTCTCCCACCAAATCATAAGTCCTATGAAGGTAGCAACTATGCACACTTTGCTTCTTACTGTATCCCAGCCATGAATCCTGTGCCTAGAATATAATAGATACTAAATTTTTGCTTTTTTGTAAGCTTTCGCTGGATAAAGAGGTTGACTTACCCAAAGTTATCGATTGGACTTGCTTAGAATAACAATATTAATATGTATAAAATGTGCTTACTAAATTTTACATCTTCTGACATTTACATGTGTGGCCTAATGGATGAATGACACCACCAGGCACAACTAATGGCAAAGAATGCAAAAACTAAAAAAAGAAGAATCTAAAAACTTAGAGATCATGATATAAAATGAAAGGTAACACAGTGGAAGTTTGATACCCAGGAGTCTTCCCCAGGGTTTCTCCTGCAGAATGATGGTGGCAAAAGGGCAAAATGGTCCCTTTCCTACAATCACAGGAGGCTTTGCCCACTGTGGAAATTCTAGCTACCTACATGCCTACCCACCAGGAGCAAGTAGTATATGCTCGAGTATTGGCTACCAGACTGGGTGAAGAGAAGGTCAGGGGCTCAGGAGTCTTCCCCATTGGGCCTCAGGCCTGTCTGAGGTCTAGACCTGCCCCTCTCTTCCCCCATTACCCCAAGCATTCATTTAAGCAACTGATAGCAAGATACTTTGACCTGTTACCTGAGAATTTGATTCATGTATTTTCTTGTAACCCGACAGCCCTTCTTCCACTTTGCAGCTAGAACACAGGCCATCCACCGACTCAGAGGAAAAAAATTAGCATTTTCCTGACTTGAATTCAAATGCATAGACTCTACAGAGAACAAGGCATTCTCAGGTGAAGTTAATGGATTTGAGAGACTACGCAATGATGGAGGAATAAGATTTTCTGCTGCAAAGGATTGCTTGATTAGTCAAGAGTGGTAAGTTTCCTGAGTGTCAGAGGGGAAACAAAGTACATGAGCTGATAGTTTGTTTCTTTTTTTTTTTTTTATTTCTGTAGCATCAGCAGTAATGTGCCTCTTTTATTATTATTTTATTTATTTATTTTTTTTATAAATTAATTTTTATTGGTGTTCAATTTACCAACATACAGAATAACACCCAGTGCTCATCCCGTCAAGTGTCCCCCTCAGTGCCCGTCACCCATTCACCCCCACCCCCCGCACTCCTCCCCCTCCACCACCCCTAGTTCATTTCCCAGAGTTAGAAGTCTTTATGTTTTGTCTCCCTTTCTGATATTTCTCACACATTTCTTCTCCCTTCCCTTATATTCCCTTTCGCTATTATTCATATTCCCCAAATGAATGAGAACATACACTGTTTGTCCTTCTCCGGTTACTGTGGCCAAGTTCAAAAAGGGTGTTGCCTGAGTTCTCCTCTGGGATTTTGATGGAATCTTGTCTCACATTTAGATCTTTCATCTATTTTGAGTTTATCTTTGTGTATGGTGCAAGAGAGTGGTCCAGTTTAATTCTTCTGCATGTGGATGTCCAATTTTCCCAGCACCATTTATTGAAGAGACTGTCTTTCTTCCAGTGGATCGTCTTTCCTCCTTTATCGTATATTAGTTGACCATAAAGTTCAGGGTCCACTTCTGGGTACTCTATTCTGTTCCATTGATCTATATGTCTGTTTTTGTGCCAGTACCACACTGTCTTGATGACCACAGCTTTGTAGTACAACCTGAAATCTGGCATTGTGATGCCCCCAGATATGGTTTTCTTTTTTAAAATTCCCCTGGCTGTTCGGGGTCTTTTCTGATTCCACACAAATCTTAAAATAACTTGTTCTAAGTCTCTGAAGAAAGTCCATGGTATTTTGATAGGGGTTGCATTATACGTGTAAATTGCCCTGGGTAACATTGACATTTTCACAATATTAATTCTGCCAATCCATGAGCATGGAATATTTTTCCATCTCTTTGTGTCTTCCTCAATTTCTTTCAGAAGTGTTCTGTAGTTTTTAGGGTATATTTTGAGAACCATTTGAATGGTAAATGGTTCTCCAACCTTTTATTTTCAGGTTGTAGGTGTCCTTCTGTCTAAAATGAGTCTCTTGTAGACAGCAAATAGATGGGTCCTGCTTTTTTATCCAGTCTGAAACCCTGCGCCTTTTGATGGGGTCATTAAGGCCATTCACGTTCAGAGTTACTATTGACAGATATGAGTTTAGTGTCATCATGATATCTATTTAGTCCTTGTTTTTGTGGATTGTTCCACTGAACTTCTTCTTAAAGGGGAGTTTTAAGAGTCCCCCTTAAAATTTCTTGCAGAGCTGGTTTGGAGGTCACATATTCTTTCAGTTCCTGCCTGTCTTGGAAGCTCTTTATCTCTCCTTCCATTTTGAATGAGAGCCTTGCTGGATAAAGTATTCTTGGTTGCATGTTCTTCTCATTTAGGACCCTGAATATATCCTGCCAGCCCTTTCTGGCCTGCCAGCGTCTCTGTGGAGAGGTCTGCTGTTACCCTAATATTCCTCCCCATGAAAGTCAGGGACTTCTTGTCTCTTGCTGCTTGAAGGATCTTCTCTGTATCTTTGGAATTTGCAAGCTTCACTATTAAATGTCGAGGTGTTGAACGGTTTTTATTGATTTTAGGGGGGGATCTCTCTATTTCCTGGATCTGAATGCCTGTTTCCCTTCCCAGATTGGGAAAGTTTTCAGCTAGGATTTGTTCAAATACATATTCTGGCCCTCTGTCCCTTTCGGCGCCCTCGGGAACCCCAATTAAACGTAGGTTTTTCTTCCTTAGAGTGTCATTTATTTCCCTTAATCTGTCTTCATGGTTCTTTAATTGTTTATCTCTTTTTTCCTCAGTTTCCCTCTTTGCCATCAACTTGTCTTCTATGTCACTCACTCGTTCTTCCACCTCGTTAACCCTCGTCGTTAGGACTTCTAGTTTGGATTGCATCTCATTCAATTGATTTTTAATTTCTGCCTGATTGGATCTAAATTCTGCAGTCATGAAGTCTCGTGAGGCCTTAATGCTTTTTTCTAGAGCCACCAGTAGCTGTAGAATAGTGCTTCTGAATTGGCTTTCTGACATTGAAGTGTAATCCAGATTTTGTAACTCTGTGGGAGAGAGGGCTGTTTCTGATTCTTTCTTTTGAGGTGAAGTTTTCCTTCTAGTCATTTTGCTCAGTGCAGAGTGGCCAAAAACAAGTTGTATTGGAACACGGGGGAGTATCACTGGTCCGTCCAGCTGGTCTTCTGGGGGAGGGGCCTGTTGCGCTGATTTTCAGGTGTTAGCACTTGGGGGAGCTGCTCTGCCCCTGCCTGCTGCGGGGCTCAGTGGGGGTTGTTTACCCCGTGGGGCCCCAGGAGGAACAGCCGCAGTTGCTATGGCAACTCTGGAAGCCTGGATTCAGCCTCCGCAGGAACTACGGGGCTCGGGGCTCTCGGCTCTCCGTCCGCAGGGCCTGGAGGCTCCGGGGCGGGGCCGCTGATCTGCTCAGCTCGGGGCAGGAGCGTCCTCGCTGTCCTGGGCCCTCCCGGCCTCTGCCTGTCCCGGGGGAGGCCGGATCCTGGGCTGTGTCCCGGCGCCCTGTGCTCCGGGGCCTGCGCTGTTGGATTCGCGCTCCCGCCCCGCAGCCCCCTCCGCGGAGCCGCTCCCGAGCCCCTCCGAGCTGCTCCGGTTGGTCCCGCCGTGCGCGCTGCAGCCCTTAGGGAGCTCGGCGCACTCTCCCGGGGCGCAGGTGTCTGTTAGTGTCCCAGGGAGCCCGAGGGCATCCCCGCCCTCCTGGGTCCTGCTCCAACTCCCTGCGAGCCCCTTTCCGCCTGCCCGGGAAGGTTGGTGCAGCTCCTGCTCCTCCGGGACGGGGCTCTCCTGTCCTGGGGACACTCGCCCCGGCCTCAGCCCGGCTCCTCGCGGGTCCCTCCCCCTCGGAGGCCTTTTGTTCCTTTATTTCTTTTTCCCCGTCTTCCTACCTTGATAGAAGCGCGAACTCCTCTCACTGCAGCATTCCAGCTGGTCTCTCTTTACATCTCAGGCCGAATTCGTAGATTTTCAGGATGGTTTGAAGGTTATCTAGGTAATTTGGTGGGGACAGGCGATTTGGGGACCCTGCTCTTCCGCCATCTTGCCCCTCCTCTGATAGTTTGTTTCTAGGAAAAAAAAAAAAGACATTTCCCTTGCCCTCACTGTTGGATGAGAGACAACAGAAATCCCAAGTAAATAGGGGTAACTGCCCCGAGGTACAGATAGAGCTTGAGGAAGCTTCGAGGTGTCAGGACAGAAATGCGTATGCAGTTTGCCAATGAGGTTTGTCTTATTTTATGGGCCTCAGGCTGTGTCCCAGAGTGCCCCCAGTCCAACCTTGATGTGGCTTTAGGACATGATTCCATTTTGCTCATAAGGAGCACAGAACTGTTGGAGGCCCTCGGACAGCCTCCCAGGCCACACTCCCGACATGCCAGGGCCTCAGGAAGAGCTCCGACAGCAAGGACAGTCACCACAAGGGCCCTTTGGATAGGAACAAGGTCTGGCCAAGCGGCCATCTGGGTAGCCAATCCCCAGTGACCAGATAACAGACCTTAGCAGATGCCACTCTGGGCACCTACCTATTCCCCCATTCTTCCTCTGCCATCTTGGCTCCCTCAGACTTAAAGCTGGTACCATGGACAAAGAGAAAGCGTGTCTTTGAATTGTCTGGGTTACATTTCTGCTCTTGGAAAATCTGAATCTGGTATCAATCAAAGAAATGTACCTTTTCATTATTATTGAGAAACAACACATATTTCTTGTGCACTTGAGTTTGTGAACACAGATGCATTTTTCTACACACATACTGCCAATTCTCTTTTCTCGTATTCGTCTCTGGTCTCCACAGCCCGACTGCGAGATACTCAGCCCCTTCCTATCTTCTTTTCTTCCTCTTCAGCACCTTGTATATAACAGGTCCCATTTTTGTGAGAACATCTATGAAATAGGATGTGCATGGCTATTATGTCTACATATCATTTGCCAGAATATCAGTTCAAGAGTCTCTCAGCTCTGACTTCATTTGTAAGTTCTCCCAGCTATTCATTTGTCACATTGATGCTGATTTGAAGGGGCATGTGCGCCCCAATGTTTATAGCAGCGCTAGCAACAATAACTGAACTATGGAAAGAGCCCAAATGCCCATCAGTTGATGAATGGATAAAAAACATGTGATATAATATATATATGTATATATATATATATGTGTGTATGTGTGTGTATATATATACACACACACCACATTATATATATAATGGAATATTACTTGGCCATCAAAAAGAATGGAATAACATCATTTGCAATGATATGGATGGAACTAGAGGGTATTATCCTAAGTAAAATAAAGAGTAAGAGAAAGAAAAATACCATATGATTTCACTCATACTTGGAATTTAAGAAATAAAACAGATGAACAAAGGGGAAGAGAAGGAAAAATAAAATAAGATAAAAACAGAGGGAGGCAAAGCATAAGAGACTCTCAACTGTAGAAAACCAACTGAGGGTTAATGAAGGAAAAAGAGGAGGGGGATAGGCTAAACGGGTGATCGGCGTTAAGGCAGGCACTTGTGATGAGCACTGGATGCTATTTTAGTGATGAGTCACTAAAATCAATTCCTGAAACTAATACTACACTATATATTAACTAATTGGAATTTATATAAAATCTTGGGGAAAAAAAGAGATAACAAGTATTTGTCAAGCCCCTATCACACACACACATACATACCCGTTCGTGGAGTGCTGTCCTTGTTATCAAGTAGCTCGTCATTGGAGGTGCAGACGTGATGTAGTTGAGTGGATTGAACATGCATTAACTTTAGGACAACAACCGGAAGGTCTGTTGTCTTAAACACATGTATAATCTGATTGCGAACCTGACAAATGTTTATCTGAGAAAATTCACAACATTTCAGAAGTAAACAAATTACACTCCATAACTCAGAATCTATAAAATTACAAATAGAAAAAAAAGAAAAAGAAAAAGAAAAAGTAGTCAATGTTAACGTTTTGGTGTATATCATGAATGCATTATAAAAATGTATCATTGTCTATTAGAGTGTGTTTAAGAAATCCCTGACACACTAGGGTACGTGCATGTGTGTGATTTATGCTTTCTCCTAAAAAGGACATGATGGTATTTGAGAGTATCAGAGACTAAGTGTATTTACTGACCAAACACAGTAAGTACATCAATGAAAGAAATTTGAAAGTATATTGTTGATTAGAAAAAGTTAAAAATTAGATTCCTGGTGGCTGCATGGTGGGAAATAAAATATTTGAATCTAATCTATAATGCATCCATGAAAATAGCTCTGATAGTTAACTTAATTGTCACTTCCTCCCTGAGGCTCTCCCATCCTCCCTCTAACAGAGCGAGCCAACTAGTCCCTCTGTGCTCCCAAATATTTTTACTATCTATGTTGAACAACATAATTCATTATTTTCATACAATTAATAAATACTGCTATTTCTATATTATATTCTAGGGAGGAAGTTTAGTGTTATGATTAAGAACATAGATTTTGGATGTAAACAGCCTAAGTTCAAAGTCTAGCCTCATCATTTGCTAGCTTATGTGACCTCGGACAAGCTATTTAGCCTCTCTGAACCTGTGTCCCCACCTATAAAATGGGAATAATAGCACTTACTTCATAGAACTGTTGTGAGAGACAAGTAGGACAGTGTTTGCAACATGTTGACCCACCCCAAAACACAGTCAATAAATAATAGGTATAATTAATTTTATTACAGGACTTGCCATGTTACACTGCAATAACTGGTTTAGGGAGGCTTTTGTCGCCTGTGAACGTTCAGACAGCAGGCCCTGCGTCCTGCCCTCTCTCCTTCCCAGCAGAGGAGCTCATAGACGGTAAGCAACCCATAACGTGTTTGCTGGAAGAGAAAATAGCCATGGAAAGTGCCAGGCCAAATGCTTTATCCTCAAAAGTTCTATATCCTTACTGAGATTTTTAGAACCAATTCTAACTACAAATCGTGGACTCTTCATCATCAGTACTATACAGGGTCATTTCCATGTTTAACAGAAGCTGACGTTTAATGAGCACTTACTGTGTGGCAGGTTTTTGACCTCGTGGCTCACACTGTATTTAAACCACTCAATGAGATAGACAGTATTTCTTCTTTAACAGATGAGATAACTGTGAGGCCCAGAAGGGGTGCCGTGAGCTCTGTGATTTCTGAGATTTTGTTCGGGTCCTCAGGAAAGTTCTGGCTCGCTATCTTTCCATTTGTATACCTAGGAAGGCAGTGAGGAAAAGAAGCAACCATATGTTTTTCTTTCTCTTTAGTCAAGCACGTTTTGTTTATTTTGCAGTCCCTTGTCTCTTCTGGAAAAACAAATGAAAGAAATTCTTGCTTCATTCATGATTTTACCCCCGCGGAGGTCCAGGGCAGGATTTCTTCCCTGCAGAGCCCTGTAGGGACAACAAGAGCCGTTACGGAGCTCCACTGAGTACCCCAAGCAGCAATTATTTTTTTAAGACAGGTTTGAAATAGACTTTCAATATATCAAAATAATAATAATTCATATCCTATGTGTGTAAAAACAATCAAATCACCTGTGAGATCATAAAACTATCAATAAGCTAAATAAAATGGAGAGTGGAGGGTATTGAGAATTTTTCAAAAAGCAACTTGCTCTCAAGAAGAGTATTTTATCCCATGTGATTATGCTTTTATGTTAAGGAGATTTATCAATTATTTGTTCATGTTGCCTACATGAGTGACAGATGTTTTAGAAATAAGAAAAATCTTGAAATTATTTTACTTCACGGGAGCTGGTTGGAAGCTGTCCAGATTCCACATTTGTTCCTATTGACCAGAGGTCTTATGACTTGGGAAAATATTTTTAATTCTCTCCCCCTTTTCTCAATGTCCTACAAAGACCTGCATTAGGATGGGAAACATTTTCGGAGTCCCAGAGGAGTCCTCATTTGCCTGAAAGATACAGTGGGTCTGTGTGCGGCGAGGGGCCACTCAAGAAGAGGACGAAGATGCCTCAGAATAACCTTTCCAAACATTCTACGCATACTTTCTTCACTCATACTAACATCTGCTGTGTGATAGACAAAACGCCGTTCTGGAGAGCATTATACGATTCTCCTTTCACATACATATTAAAAGATGCAAAAAAAATTATCACTTTTAAGAGAACAACTGCATGGTGCCTGGCGTATTTATTCTTTCAAGAGTTGGCTTCAGTTTACTTCCAGAATTAGAAAAATAGCAGAGGCCACTATAGTAGATAGAGATCAATTGTTATTCTTGTCTCAGGAAATAAATAAAATATAAAGAAGTGTGTGGGGGGGACCAGGCAGATCCCTGAAATAAGAATTTTGCCTTATTTTCGCTAACATTCCCATAATAATAATAATGATAATAAGCTCAAACACATGAAGTGGGAAAATGAATGCCATCTCCTGAAACTATCTTCTGATGTACTGATAGGAATTCACATGCGAAATATGTAGTGAATTTTTAAATCCATTTAATCATAGTGGTGTTAGTGTTTTCTATGTGTTTTCTATACTGGTGTTAGTGTTTTTGTTAGTGTTTTCTATACTGAAACCCGTGGCCCTTCCTTGGGAAAATGCTTTGAAAAATGCTGTCACTGTGGGGCTTTGTCCTGGAAATGAGATTGGGATTGCTTCTGACTTCAGCTCTTAGAGGGAGTTAATATTCTGGATAGATTTGAAATAAGCGTCATGTGCTAAGGATGGCAGATGATGCTCAAGGTGCTCAATAAAGGTTTGATGGATGAATGAGGGGGAATGCTACCGGTTGGCTGGAGTAGTAGGGTTGCCCTTAGGGACATCCCGAAGCACTGCGTCTCATTTACTTCCATTAGGTGTGACTTCATTTTTCCTTTTGTCCTTCGTTGGACAAACCTGTTGATGCCTGTCCTGTGTCAGGATCTGTCCTCGGAACTGGACGTACAGCTGTGAACATCACAGATCTTGGTTTTATCTAAAGACTTGACATCCTAAGAGATAGAGAGTGAAACAAAGAAAGAAAACCTTCATCCGTAACCTCAGGCGTGCGAGTGTTTGTGGCTCTGATCCTGTCTGCGTGGTAGTGAGGACGTGCCCGGTGTGAGGAGCAGCAAAGACGGCCTCTTGTGGGAACTCCGGGCTCTGGACCTTTGCTAGGAAGTTGATTGGCTCAATTTTCAACATCTGATGAAACTACAAAACTGAAATCAGAAGAGGGCATTGCCCTGGAGGAAACCAAAATTGTCAGCATAATAAATGAAGCTCTTAGGCCTTCTTCTTAAAAAAATGTTCATTTAGGCGTGTTAAGGCCTTAGTTTACTCGGCTGCATCTACCATCAGGAAAGCCAGTCATGGGGGATCCCTGGGTGATGCAGCGGTTTAGCGCCTGCCTTTGGCCCAGGGCACGGTCCTGGAGACCCGGGATCGAGTCCTGCGTCGGGCTCCCGGTGCATGGAGCCTGCTTCTCCCTCTGCCTATGTCTCTGCCTCTCTCTCTGTGTGTGTGTGACTATCATAAATAAAAAATAAATAAATAAATAAAAATTAAAAAAAAAAAGGAAAGCCAGTCATGTTAGAGTGAAGAGATGTCCTTGAAGACAGTGGAAGGACCATTGGTTCCACGGGACAGGCGTTATTTGCCAACAGTCCTGTCTCCCTGCCCCCTCCATCACCACCATCCTCCTTCGTTTTGCTTTATATGCTGTAATCAAGTAAAAAGCAGCGTCCAGAGCCCCCCTGGCAGCAAGGCTAGCCCACGTCATCCTCTGATGCCAGACAATTTTCACTTCATCTGTGGCTGGTGGGAAGGGCGCTACGCTCCTCTGACTCCCCACGTTCCGGGGGTCACAACCTGCCTCTTCTGTGTGAGCCCAGGTCTGCCTCCTGTGTCGCCGCGGTTCCCGTTGAGGCCCTGCAAGGCCGACGCGCAGGGCAAGGCCCTAACCCGGAGCTTGTTTGACTTCCAGCCTCAGCCTTTATGCCTCTGGGCCCCGGATCCCAGGGCACGTGGACAACACGATGCTTCGGTGTTGCCACTGACGGCCTTGGCTTGACCTTCAGGCGGCTCCCTGGTTCTCTGTGCGAGCCCTGCTGCCTTCCTGACGACCCTGGGGGACTGGGTCCCGTCGGGGCTGCTTGCCCTCTTCTCCCCGCCGGGGGCTGGGGTGTGCAGAGTCGGGGGGTGCCCGGCGGCCCAGGCCCAGGCCCGGCAGGAGCAAGAAGCTTCGGGCACCCCGACAGCCCCAGGCCACGGGCACAGGTGTGGCAGGACTGCGAGCCCAAGGTCAAGAGGAAAGTGGCTCTTGAGGAAAAAAAGTGTTTGGATTAAAAGTGTGGATTAAAAGTCAGGACAGGAGGTGGAAAGCTGTGCCCCCGTTAGAGGGAGGCCTTCACACCATGGTGGCATGCAGAGGGGCGCCTAGACACTCCCTGGAGGCCACGGCTCTTGTGTCCCTGGAATAAAACCAAGAGACACAAGGACATTCCTGTTAATGTTGCACCAGACACCGATGCACATATTCACCTTTTATTTTATTTTTTAATAGATTTTATTTATTTATTCATCAGAGACACACAGAGAGGGGCAGAGACACAGGCAGAGGGAGAAGCAGGCTCCATGTGGGGAGCCCGATGCGAGACTCGATCCCGGGACTCCATCCCAGACCCCGGGTCACGCTCTGGGCCCAAGGCCGGCGCTCAACCACTGAGCCCCCCGGGGATCCCTCGTGTTCACCTTTTAATCAAAGCTTCCTCTCACTTCTTGGCCTGTCTGTCATCTACGCCGCACAGGACGTCCTCGCAGCCCGAGCAGCAGCCACACCTCAGGGAGCCGCTGAGGCCGTGTGGGGAGCAGCCCCCCTGGGTGGCTCTGCCTCCAGGCCTCTCTCCTGAGGCCGCGGGGAGCTCCAGGCTCACGGGTGTAGGCCTCTGAACGCCACGGGCAGGAGGCCGCGTGGGCCTCAGCATGTGGGCCTTGCTCCCACGTGCTGACACGGAGGCCTTCCTTGCCCAGAGCAAGTGACCCGAGAACGAGCCAGAAGCCCCAATCCCTGTGACTGTTCATACGAGGACACAGCCTATCACTCCCGGTACCTTCTACTCACTAGAAGTGAGTGACTAAGTCTAGGCACAGCCCAGCGGGAGGTGGGACTTTGGTCTACCTCTTAGGGAAAGACCTGTGGAAGACTTTGACACCACTCACCGTGGCGCTGGCCTAGTGGTCAGAAGACACAGGATGCTCAGGCCCGTTGCAGGATTTGGTGGACCCAGTGCGAAGTAAACATGGGGAGGGCCACTCAAGAGTCATTAAGAATCTCAAGACGGACCTCCGAGCGTTGAACTGAGCCTGGTGCCCTTCTGGGTACCTTCCGCGGGCCCGAGCAGGACAGGTCAGCCTGAGGACAGCTGCGCTTTGAAATCAAGAGTTTGAATCCCAGCCCCACTGCCTAATAATTGTGTAACTCTTGGGAAAATTACTTCATATCTGTGGATTTGAACATCTAATTTTCTAAAATGGGCACGATTAATCTCCCTTCCACTTAGGGTTTCTGTGGGAACTAAAGGGCGTAAATACTTTAGGCTCATGGGAGGCACTCGAGAACTTGCAGATACAATGATTACCTTTTTAAGGAGCTTTAGGGGTAGAAAAGGGAAAAGAACCAGCGAGCTCGTGACTCAGGTTGATGAGTTAGCTATTGTCACAGGCTCCGTAAGGTGGGAAGAGCATCTCCTGCTCTTTGCACTACTAGCATCTCTTTCCCCTTAGCGCGTCTTACACCCGATGTCCATGAGTCCAAAAAAAATGTGTCCTGTAAACTACAAGAAGAAGGGCCAAGGCGATGTGTTTCAGAAATGGCATGTTTGCAACATTCTAAGAGGTAGAACCGAAGCTGCCAAAAATAGAAACACTGAAAGATCAGCGTTTCACCTAGAAATGGTTGCCATGAACTACTTCCTATCAATAAGCTCACCAGATGAGGCTGAGTATTGACTGGGAACTTCCCATAGCAATAGTCTCGTTGAGTGGCTCAAAAAACCAAACGCGAAAACTAAAACTGTTCCTGGCTGAGGTCTTCATCCCGGCAAAATAACTTTGTAAGACACTATAGAGCTTCAGGCTGGCTTTCTGCTTCCTTGTGCAGCTGAGTACGGACCAGGGAAGCAAGCGAGCAGCGGGGTGGGATTTGCATAGACTCCATGTGCACTGCTAAGGGGTGCCCTGCCCCGTGCTCCAGCCACCCTGCTCTAGAGCTGCTGTGTCGCACCAAAAAACCGGCGTTCTTCAAAAACCATGTCAAATGCTCCACGTGGGCCTCCTACTAGGCCCTTAACCAAAATATATCATTGGAGCCCAGACGTCTTTGCTCCTCTGACAATCATCACACGCACCAGCCTATGAAAGAGTCCACAGGACCAGGGATTCAGGACTGGGCTTTCAAGTGCTACTGAATGGGGCCCAAAAGAATTGATACAGATTCCAGGGGTCCTTCTCTTGCTTCTTCTAAAAAGGTGATCTCAACAAGGACCACAGTAAGGAAAGACAGAGGGGCCGGTGATTTATCTGCACGAGCAGATAAACAGGAAACATTAAGAAAAACAGTACGAAGGGGCACCTGGGTGGCTCTGTGGCTTGAGTGTCCAAACGTCGGTTTCAGCTCAGGTCATGATCTCACTGATGGTGAGATAGAGCCCCATGTCGGGCTCAGCGACTCAGCGGGGAGTCTGCTTGAGAGTCTCTCCCTCTGCCCCTGCCCTCCACGTGCTTGTTCTCTCTCCCTCTCTCAAATAAATAAAACATTTATTTATTTTTATTTTTTAATAATAAATTTATTTTTTATTGGTGCTCAGTTTGCCAACATACAGAATAACACCCAGTGCTCATCCCGTCAAGTGCCCCCCTCAGTGCCCATCACCCATTCACCCCCATACCCGCCCTCCTCCCCTTCCACCACCCCTAGTTTTTCCCAGAGTTAGGAGTCTTAGTCTTCATGTTCCGTCTCCCTTTCTGATATTTCCTACCCATTTCTTCTCCCTTCCCTTCTATTCCCTGTCACTATTATTTATATTCCCCAAATGAATGAGAACATACAATGTTTGTATGCTGAGTGAAATGAGTCAATCGGAGAAGGACAAACATAAATAAAACATTTAAAAGAAAAATAATGCAAGTTGGATTCTTTTCACAGGCACATTAACATCACAAAATAAACAAGCCAGGTGTAAGTGTGAAAAGACGCCCCCCACCTTCACTGCAGGCAGTGCTGTGTTCTTAGCCAGAGTCTTCTATTTCTCAAGGAACTTCTTTATTTATTCTCCAATCCAAAATTAGTTCCCTAATTTGAAACAGCAATAAACAAACATTACTAAAGAAATCCCTTGGGCTCCCTTCTCCCACACCCTCTCCCCCTACACACACATTTTTTTTTTTTTTTGCTTTGTTTGTTCATAGTTTTTTTTGCCTTTGTGCTCAACATGAGGACCTGCGGTGGTTTGACTTTCTGAAATCTCTTTGTAAGTCTCTCGAAAGATACTTCAATTCCATCCTGATAGGAAAGAATTAAATTCCTATTAATTTCAATCCATTATGTATTAAGTCCAAACACTTCTGTTACATCAAAGTATGGATTTTATTTTAATTTTTTTTAAAAAAGATTTTATTTATTCATGAGAGACAGAGCGAGAGAGGCAGAGACACAGGCGGGGGAGAGCAGGCCCCATGTAGGGAGCCCGATGTGGGACTCGATCTTGGGACTCCAGGATCACGCCCTGGGCCAAAGGCAGGCGCTAAACTGCTGAGCCACCCGGGGATCCCAAAGTATGGATTTTAGTTTTCTACTGGTTTGTCGGACTCCGTAATTCTTCTGTTGGCCTGTTGTAGACACCACTGTACAGTGGGTGTACATGGGGCCTCTGATCTGAGCCTTTGCTCTAGCACATCCGGGGGTCCTCCCCTTCCCTTCTGTCACTTCTTGACTTCCAACCTTTGCCACCTCTGCCTCCTCTCCTACCTTTCTTCCTCTGACCTCCCTGCCTTCCCTTCTGTTGATCACTCCATAGCCATGTGGCTCTTCTCTTCAGACTCATCTCAGCGCTGTCTTCATAAAAAAAGAATGTGCTGGTCACTTGACTGGTTGCTCTGGCATTTGCCCCCACTCTGTTCTCTATCACAGGGGACTGACTACCTTTTCCAACTTGTTTTGCTTTCTGGCTGCCACATGATCGGTAGAAGATTGAGGGGTGAAGGAGGAGGGACAGCTGGGCCTTTTTCCTTCTGTCTTTCCATTTTGAGTGGTTTCTCCAGCAGGGGCTGCCTCTTCATGATTCCAGCTGCTGCCAGATAGCTTCTCCCTTTGTGGTCTCAGCATCTGCCAGGAATCCGCCTTCTGCGCTTCTGACTTCTCTGTAATGATTCCATCTTCCAGGCCCTGCTAATAGCGACGCCCTCTCCCTGGGTTCCTCCAGCCTCAGAGGGTGGGTGGCTTCTGACTTTCGTTAGTTTTTAGGTTATCCTCACCATCACCAACTCTTTGGTTCTGGTTCTTCCATCACATGGAACCACCACATGTGGTTCTTCCATCACATTTTTTTTTAAATTTTTTATTTTTATTTTTTTATTTATTTATGATAGTCACAGAGAGAGAGAGAGAGAGAGAGAGAGAGAGAGAGGCAGAGACATAGGCAGAGGGAGAAGCAGGCTCCATGCACCGGGAGCCCGACGTGGGATTTGATCCCGGGTCTCCAGGATTGCGCCCTGGGCCAAAGGCAGGCGCCAAACCGCTGCGCCACCCAGGGATCCCACATTTTTTTTTTTTTTTTTTGGACAAAAAGGAAATTCACTTCTTTACTAGAATGGCACTACAAACAGACTTTTGCATCAAAATAATCAAAGCATTTCCCATCAAGACACAGGAAAAGGGATCCCTGGGTGGCGCAGCGGTTTGGCGCCTGCCTTTGGCCCAGGGCACGATCCTGGAGACCCGGGATCGAATCCCACGTCGGGCTCCCGGTGCATGGAGCCTGCTTCTCCCTCTGCCTGTGCCTCTGCCTCTCTGTCTCTCTCTGTGTGACTATCATGAATAAATAAATAAAAAATCTTAAAAAAAAAGACACAGGAAAAAAAAAAGAATGCAGAGACTTATGGATACTTGCTTCTCTTGAACTTTAGTAGTAGAAGCAGGGCTGCTTGTCACAATGCTCCTAAAAATACTTATGCAACAGGATGCTCAGGAGTTTGGGGACCTGTCCCACCAGCCTTCAAGAACTCCTCAAGTTGTTTCATCTTCTCAGCTCTGGCACGATGTTTCCGGTGCCAAGATGCCAGGCTCAGGAGCACGCTCTTCACCCGATTTTGTACTCGGGGCCATCCGAAGATACTGATTTCAACTAAGTCTCCAGAGTTAACTACGTCCACCGTCAGCAGGACTTGGCTCATCCACTCTATTTCTGGAATTATGGCTCGGTCTGGGCCGAAGATGGCGTCAGCCAGCCACGCCTCCAGGGAAAACACCAGTGGGTCTCTCAGCTCCTGCACTGGAAACCACCAAGGCCGGGTGCGAATCCGCGGTGGTGGAAATGGTGCCCTGAGCAGCCTGTCCAGGGACCGGGCGGGCCTCCATTCGTCCCCCGGAACCTCAGCAGCACCCACGTCGTCGCCCATGTATCACAGGTTCCTACATTCAAATCCCTTTGCTTGAAATCCCTATAGTAGTTTCTGTTTTCTCATCTGGGTGCTGACTGAATAGGGGGCTCCAGGTCCTAACAGCAGTAAAGAGCAGGAGCCTCCAGCTTGGTGCACGTGTGGAAGTTGCCGGGAGAGTGGGGCGCTGGGAGAGAGCATGGAAGTTCTGTGCCCCTTCCCACGTATGTGATCCTACATGTCTCTTCCATCTGGCTGTTCCTGAGTTAGATCCTTTTATGATAAACCAGGAATCTAAAGTCAGTTTAAGAGATTATAACCTTCTCTGAAGTTCTCAGATCTCAAGTCTTACAAAGTCCTCGTGAGCTGAATCCAGACGCCAAGAAGAGAATGGGAGAATCTTAAGATGGCATGAACCCCAAATGCCCACCTGGCGGGGGGCAGCCCACAGAACTGGAGCACCACCTCAAACTGTCACATGCACGAGAAAGAGACTACTACTGCTTCTTGCCTTTATGTACGCGGATTCTTATATATTTGGGTATTGGTCACAACTGCTTATTTAACTCTACCAGAAGAGAACGTCAGTGGTCCTTGGAGAAGAGAGAATCCTGAAGCAAAAGCTTAAATCTTGAAAGTGTAATTTATATAAATAATAACCATATAACACATACACAGGTTTTAATTGGCTTTTGGACTCATGAGATCATCACATTTATGGTGGCAATGGAATCTTCCTTGTGTATAACTCAACCAGCCGGCTAAATGTGTATAGACTAATGGGTTAGTGGGTCTCTCAATGTTGAAAAAGAAACACAAAATTCCCAGACACAAGTTGTCAATCATAATTTTGATTTAGTGAAACAATAAATGTGAAAAGAACAGATTAAAAAAATAACAAAAATAAATAATAAAAATAAATAAATAAAAAACCAACAACCCAAGAACAACAAGGGACTACCATGGCAACATTTCAGATCAATAGTTCTCCGGAGTGGATTGCTGCTGTGCATGACCTTATTCCCTACCCCGTTGGGGTTTTTATACATGCAGCATACCTTTCAAACTAACAGCTGGCAAGACCCCACATCAAAGATAGGTTGGGGTGACTGTGAGGGGTACACTAGGGAAACCGATGAAGCACCCTGTAGCTTGCATTCTCTTGAACATGGGGATGAGGATTTGCTGGCCTTACCCCACTAATATTTGAGTTTCCAGCAAAGTGCTATGTGGACTTCATGTGATTTTCCTTCTTATTCCCGTCTGAGCAGACACGTCCTGGCTGCTTGCCTCAGGGCTGCAGGGAGGTGGTTTGGTTCATTGCTGTGGTCACTAACCTTGAACCTCACCTGATAGTAACACGTGTTTGTTTATGAATCTGGGAAATACTTACTATAGAAGAGTGGCTGGTAACTCTAAGGGAAGTCAAAAGACTTTGGGGAGAATCTGAGGACTAGAAGAGTCCTCCCACCAGAGAAATACCCATATGCACCACAATTGTAAGCAAGCATGTGCGTGCACACACACACACACACACGCACACACATGCTCATACACACGCTCACACACACACACACACACACACACTTTGACATAAATCCCAGTAGAATTATTGATCCCAGATTAAGAATCTCTTATTCTCCCATCCTGCCACACAGTCCTTGGTCGCATGTTCCTTTTCTTTCTATCCCTAACCAAGATGCCCTATGTATGTAGCTGTATTTTTATGAATAATTTATTTTCTTCCCCTTCATCCATTTTTTTAAAAAATACAAAATCTATTAGATACTCTTTGGAGAGACTCTTCCTTATTCTGGATTTATCCCGAGGCAGACAGTTCTATGTCTTACTTATGTTAAAAGATTTCTCTACAGTGATATTAAATGTTTCTGCACATGAAACAGTAATTTCTTCCTGCTGTTTTGAGATATCTGTCTTTCTTATTGGCACCACGTGAGATAAAGTTCTATAATTGGGACAGAGATTTATGGAGTGTTATTGTTGAATGTATGTTTATGTTGCTTTCCTGTGGTGAAAGACCCATATCACAAGACTTCCGTTTGGGGATTGATTTGGGGCCTAGTGTAACATGTAGGCTGTAATAAGTCACAGCAGATCTTGCCTATTTGGTCCCTGCTATCCCTTGTGGTTTCCAGGGTGGATAATTTTGCTCATTCTTTTGGCCTTTGCTACAGCTTGTCAGGGACTGGACTCATGTTCATAACTCTGAGGAGTGCTCAGCTGTGAAATAAGTAGTGAAAAGATGAAATGCAATTGATCCTGAGCTGTGGTGATCTTTCAGCCCCAACTAAGCAAGAAATAAGTATTTAAAGTGGCCCAATAAATCTTTCTGAGCTTAAAACATTAGATTAAAAACATTTATGAATTGACTCGGGCAGGAAGGCTGAGAAAAACATATGTATTGGTTCTGCAGTAGACATGGAAAGCAGTAGGGAACATTAGTGATAAACTGAATGAGGTCAGCCTAGGGTATCTTTATCTACAGAAATAAGAATCCTTTAGCATCAAGGTACAAGAATGTATATCACAAGTATAGGAGACGTCAGTTCCAAGTTTGTTTAAAAATGAAAAATGGCTTAAAAAAACATTTATAGCTATTTGTGGTATTTGAGCTTATTAGAGGAGGATATGACGCTCGACTGCTTGAGGTTTGCCATAAGAGGAAAGAGGTAATCTTTCAAATTGAGCAGTTAGAGCTATGGCATGACCTGCGTGCGAAAGAAGATACTGGAAAAGAATTGTATTCATTCATTCACTCATGCAACAAGAATTTGTTGGGTACAGATTATATTCCAGGAACTATGTTAAACTTGGGAATAAGGAAATAATGAGATGTGATTCTGTCCTCAAGGTTGTCCCAGTGTAGTGAAAGAGACTGATGAGCAGATGGAGAGGCCGAGCAGTGTCACGGTGCTCATGGCCTGTAGGAAGTGGAGGGTATTATAAAGGAAAAGGGAGTTATATCCATGCAACGAAGGTGCCAAAGACCTGAAGCTAGATATTCCTGGGGGGGGGGGGTGTTCCAGACCTTGATCGTTATATTCACCATCCCATCCCAGTAATGGAGCCAGGATAGGACTGAGTAGGCCCTCAGATACTTCTTGATGTAGGTCAAGTGTCATCTACTTCACTCTTCAGCTCTGGGGTAATGAGGCCTGACTACAGGCAAGAATCCCCAGGGTCGAGCCTCTCCTGTGGCTGATCATCTAGAGTGATCATACACCAATCGAGAATCACTCCGTGGGAGCAAACCATTTAGGCATGGAAGAGCCCATGTGCCAAGAGGTAACGAGATTCTTCTTCCTAAGCCCAAGCTAAGTCTGAGGAGTGCTAACAGCTTTAGGATGATAAAGATCCACAAAGGAAGTTGAAAAGGTGTTCACATGCTCTTCAGTGTCATGGAACTGTGGACCTGTAGAGGCATGTTGGACCCTGCAGGACCCCTCCCAGGGCAGATGCTATGTTGATATGAGGTCTAAGAAGACTCCAGGAGCATAGGAACTTCGGAAGCGATTTATAGACCCGGTGCCCCCGAGGAAGGCATTTGAGCGAGGCATTTGACCCTGAGCTATGTTAGGGTCATCTAAGATGCAGACTCTGAGATTTGGGGAGAATTGTCAAGCACCCACCAGCTGAGATGGGGGTTGGAGCAGGGTGAAGGCAGGCTTGGCAAGAGGGCCGCAGGGGGGCAAAGACATAAATGTCTGCTCCCTTCTCTTAGTTGTATCAGTATGCATGGATCTGGGGAGAAACACCCACATTTTGTTGTGTCTGATGGGAAAGGAGATTATGTATTTCTTTCAGTAAAGTTTGCTTTGGAAGTTGGGTTACTTTCCAATGCCTTGGCTTATGTGGCCCACTTCTTCCTCTGTGTAAGGTGGACTATGCCTTGATGCTACCCTCGTTTAAAGTTTCCTCCGCGTTACTCAGAAGTGAGGTAGATCACCACTGTGAAGCCGTCAGAGGACCTGTTTTGTTCTACCTGGCTGAGAAAGTCTTTAAATTTGCTTTAAGATCCATCTGGAAATAATAAGTGAGATAAATAAGCCAGTTCAATTTACTTAAGGTAATCATATATGAAAGTCATTCACCGGTTCAACAATATTTATTGAATATCTTTTATGTTCCTAGGCTCTGGGGATGGATACACTGTTGAATCAAAGAGACAAAAATTCTTCCCTCATGGAGCTTCTCATCTTGTACAGAAGATGTTAAGATCGAGAACACTGCGGAAGTAATGAGCAAACCTGCTACTAAGCCTTGGTTGATATTCCCAAGTTAAATTTTGATTTATTTAGTCAATAGTACCTCAGCCTGGATTATATGTTATCTTGGTTGTTAATGAATTCAGTTTTTCTTGTTAAGCAATTATCTTTCACTATCCGCGTTTTCATCTGCTAAGACTTGTGAAGATGTATACACTAGATCCAAATAAATGGACATTTAGTTTTAGGGACTATGGTAGAAACAGAGTATTATTTTGCATGTCTTTTTTTTTTTAAGATTTTGCTTATTTATTCATGAGAGAGAGAGAGAGAGAGGCAGAGACACACACAGGCAGAGGGAGAAGCAGGCTCCATGCAGGGAGCCCGACATGGGACTCGATCCTGGGTCTCCAGGATCACACCCCAGGCTGAAGGCAGGCGCTAAACCCTAAATCACTGAGCCACCCAGGATCCCCTTATTTTGCATGTTTGCTAAAAGTGAAATTGCTCTTCATTTGGGATAGACAGCCAGTAATTTTTTTCCTGTGCCATAATATTTGCTTTTCCTTACAGTGCTCCTCAAGTCTCCCCAGCAACGAGATGACAAGCTCCCCAGTTATCATTAGAAAAATGAAAATGCTTTTTAAAAAAGATTGGGATAAAGTCTAGCTATTTTTCAGACTGATTTATTGTCTTACAACAAGGTTTTGCCATAATGGTACTAACATGCTACAGCTTGAGAGGAACCAAAAAAAAAAAAAAAAAAAAAACCAACTATTTTACTAGTTAAAATGA